CGATCCTTTCTTCAATTTAGGTTTGTAATCATAAAATAACTGGCTTTGGAAGGTGATAATACACTTTAGTGATGAACACACTTAATAGACAGGCTAGGTATTTTATTTTTTAGATTTTAAGGGATTCTAGGTTCCAAGCTTTTGACTCTTAATCACACATGGCATATGGCTCATAACACAGGCTAGATGCCCTTACTTGCTACTTTGCTGATCCATTTTCCTTACATGCTGCTATCTGCACCCACAGGATCAGATTAAGATTTAGAGCAGCAGGACTACAAGAAAAGCATATCTAACTCTATGATAAACATATCTAACTTCAGCTGGGACAGGGGTTCACCTTCCCCTGTTCAGGTTTCCTGAATGGATACTCTCATTTGGGGGGATGCCACCTGTGGTTAGAGAACAAGATAACTATTTGATCTGATAGTAAAAGCAGTTTACTGTATTTCCTCTGTGGACACCAATGACTAACTTCCACATGGATATCACAGCACAGGATTCAAGCATCTGGTAAACACTGAATGAGTACAATGGGCCAGGTGTGGGTTAGGTGCTGGTGACACAAAGATGAACAAGACACTACGTGGCTAAGCCAGGGAAGGTACTGAAGGTGCAGACAATCTCAACAGAACTCAAGTGCTTGCAGCAGTTGAGGGTACAAAATGTTATGTGAGCACACAGAGGAGGAGGTGCCCCATTCTGTCTGGGGAGAGTCATCAGTGTGTGGGGTGATGGAGAATAATAGGAGACAAAACTAGAAAGAGCCAGATTAAGGTCCCCCAGTCCACTTCTCATTAGTCACACTTTCTTTAGGCAACTGCATTCACTTCCAAGACTTCAACAACTACCCCCACAAGTCAACAACTTCCATAGCTGAGATCTCAGCTCCAATCTGTCTCTTCACTGCAGGCACTTACCCTAATCTACCTCAGAACATCTATCTCTGTTTGTCTCAGAGGCACCTCCTCCAAGCACCACTCTTACCTCCCCAGACTTCCTCTTCCTTTATTCCCACCCTCAGTTTTCAGAGTCACTGTCCAAATTAAACCTCCTTATCCCTCACCTCCAAGTGGCCACCAAGTCCTGTCAATCCCACTTCCAAACTCTTTCTCAAACCATCGTGTCTTCTCTGTTCCGCCATCCTCTCTGTTCAGGCCTACATCTTCCCTCCCTCCAACGACTACAATAGCCACAAAACCTAGTCTGTCAACTCCAAACTCTGTTCCTATTCATACATTCAACAAATTGGACGCAAGGTACGATGGGTACTATAGCAAACGAGACATACAAAGTGCCTGCTTTATGAAGCTTTCTTTTTATTTATTCATTCTAGCCAATTCCCTTTTAAAAATTAAGCTGGCCATGGCACATACTGGCCTTAAGTCTTCAGTATCCTCCCACAGCCTACATGAGAAACCCCTAGCTGTTCAACATCTGGCATATCCTACCCTTCCAAACTCTTGTTCTGCTATCCTCTCACAGGCCCTTTAAACTCCAGGCACAAGCCTGATACTAAAACTGCATGTTTCTTCAGGCTCTGCGTTGGCAAGTGTTACTTCCTGTGCCTGGAAC